CCACCCCGAGAAAGCCCAGCCAGTCCCCCTGTTCCTAGCAGCAGTGAGGGGATCCAGCCATCTCCACCAAGGGGACCCCACAGCCACGTTTAGCCACCTTTCTCCTGAGGTCTCCAGCTGTGGACATTCAGATGCCTGCACTGCAAAGAGAAGGTGAGCGCTTTCCCGACTGGAGCAGAGACAGCACCCTCTGCGCCTAGCAGAGTCAGCTGGAGCTGGGGGAAGAGGGGTGGGATTTTTTCCAAGGAGACTTGCTGGAAAATGCAGATTCATCCAATCTGCTCCCTTTTTTTAATCTTGCCAAGTTGTTGGCCAGAATGAACATCAGAAGTCACAGGAAAGCACTGGGTTGGATTGGGAAGGTTTTCAGGCCCGGAATGGACTCTCCCTCCCTCCCGCATGTAGTCCCGTGAGTAGGTGCTGTTCTGTCTGACTTGGAGAAAAGGCCTGATATGGCCTCCCACAGTCTAGGCAAGGGCCTTGCTCCTCTGCCTCTTCCCGGACTTCACGAAAGTCCCTCATTTTGGTTCAGATGCGGAACACACACAAACCCTAAAGCCTCCAACGCAACAGAGTTCTTGCTTTCCAGCAAGTCCGAACGTTAAACCTCGAGACATGCAGAGATTATGAATTCCCGATCCCTTGTCTCCTAGGATTTCACATTACATTTACAACCCCCGCCCTCTCTCCCAGCAAAGATGGATGTTGCGCCCTCAGCCGCTTGCGCACTGAGTGAGGCAGGAGGGCTAGTAACTGTGACCAGATCTAGGATCAATTAAGCTTTGGGTTTTCTTGGCTTAAAACAAAACAACACACCACCTGTCTTCTCAGAGTCACACTTGCCCCAGTTGGAATGTGACGTTCCCTCAGATGTGAGCTTTCACGCTGCCAGCACTAAAACATCCTTTGAATTTTTAGGTATTCTAGATTTCCTAACTCAAAGTGTCGGATCCAGCCCAGGGGACTGTTATACTAGACCTCGTCCTGACAGAGAAGAACTGATGACAAAGCTAATAGTTACATGGTAGCTTAGATCATGTTATGCTAGACCTCGTCCTGACACAAGAACTGATGACAAAGCTAATAGTTACATGGTAGCTTAGATCATGATCTGACTGCATTCGCAATGTGCAGACAGAGTAAAGCCCAGACTAGTAAGAGATTACTCACACATTATTTTAAGAGGGTTCGTTCCACAAAGCTGAAATCTATTTGAACCAAATCAGTTGGGAGAAAGAATTTAAATCAGAAAGATAGGAATTGTGAAGTTAAGAACACTTTACTAGATTTGCCAAAAAGCCACAGCAGAGAAAGAAGGCCATATAGATTAGAAAAAAATCCACACAAACCTGGTTTAGAAGTCTCAGAGGGGTAGCCGGGTTAGTCTGCAATTTTAAGGAAACTATAAAAAAATAAAATAAAATGGAAAAAGACATTGATAATCAATAACCATAAATCAGAAGTCAAGAACTGTAGAAAACCGATAAGGGAAGCAAAGGGGCACAAGGATAAATCTATAGTTAGAGTTAAGAATAATAAGGGTTTTTTTTTAAAATAAAAAAGGCTATTAGGAACAAAGTCCTCAGACCATTACTAGATGCAAGTGGTAAAAATAGTAATCATGCAGAAAAGACTTCCGTGTTGAATAAATATTTCTTTTCTGTTTATTTCTTCACATACAGATGAGGTCATAACATAGAACTATACACTTTCCATTCCAATGACTAGTATCTCTCAGGAGGGTGTTAGGCAGCAGCTACTGAAGTCACATTAACCCCCCCTCCCCCCAACACACACACGCACACGCACACGCACACGCAAGAGCAGGTCTGAATACTTTCTATCCAAGAATTTGAAAGAACTGGCTGAGGAAGATT